ATTAAACAGACCCGCATTGCTCCTGTAAAAATAATAATAATCCTTGGATTTGACATAGCGCCTTATCACGTCGGTGAGACATCTCAAAGTGCTTCACAGAATATGTTGTGAAAGGAATTGATAAGGTACTTTGTGGGCGAATGCGGTAGCCAATTACATACAGCAGTGTCCCACAAAAACAGTCATGGATTGAATGACCAAATTATTATTTTTTGGGGGGGTTTATCCCCGGAAAGCGGTATCGCCAATTGACTAACAACTGAGTTTCTACTTACTGCTGGATAAACAGAGGGAGCAGGCAGGATGGTAGCGGGTTAGGAGGTCGCAGAGGAGCAAGACCTTGGAGGGCTTTGAAGGTAAGGATCTTGAACTGTATCCTCTGAGTGATGGGAAGCCTGTGGAGGTGGGTAAGGATGGAGGTGATAGAGTCATGGAGACTGGTGCGGGAGAGGACATGAGTGCAGAGTTCTGGATGATCTGCAGCCTATGGAGGGAGGAGTTAGGGCGGCCGACAAGCAAGGAGTTTGCATAGTCAACCCTGGATGTTATGAATGCGTGTGTGAGGGTCTCGGCAGCCTGCGGTGTGAGACAGTGGCGGAGCTGGGCAATATTGCGGAGGTGCGGGGAGGCAGAGCGGGTCCTGGCACGGATGTGAGGTAGAGAGGATAATTGAGGGTCAAACAAGATGACAAGGTTCCAGACTGTCTCAGTGAGGTGGAGTGTGCATCCTTGGATGGTGATGCTGTCAGCATCAACTTGCATTTATAGAATGCCTTTCACATAGGGTACTGTCTCCGACGGCTTTACATGGACGGGGCTGGATGCTGAGCAAGGGGGAGGGAGGTGGCCATAGAGGTGGTTCAAAGAGGTGGAGTTTGAGCAAGGCCAAGCTAGCTGAGCGGAGGTGTAGGGTAGGACTCGATTGGAGAGATAAGGCGGTGCCAGGGAATGGATGGCTTTGTGGGTGAGAGTGAGGACCTTGAACTCGATCCACTCAGAAACAGCGAGCCAATGAGACTGGGGTGGTAGGCGTGTGGAGTTTGTGTCTGTCAGGATGCGGGCCTCGGTGTTTCGGATGAGTTGCAGCTCGTGAATGGTAGAGGGAAGGAGACGGGCGAGGAGTACTTTGGGAAAATATAAGCAGGCTGTGACAAAGGTGTGAGGGAGTGTTTCAGTGGCATTGGCTGAGGGATAGGAACAGAAGTGAGCAACTTTGCAATTCATTGAGGGAAAGATGGTGTGGGTGAGGCTCTGAATGCGAGGGAGACGAGAGAATCAGCGATTAAACCGGTCACCAAGCTCGGCAACCAGTTCAGAGAGTTTGAGAAGGGGATCAAAATGAAGCAAGCCGGTAGAGCTGTCCTCACCTGTTCTAAAGATATATACTGCACCATATTTCCTTTGGACACATTTCCTTTGTACTATAGCAGACACTCACTGGTTAAGACACACCAGGGTAAGGTTTGCAGATTTCATAATGAAACGCCATAAATGTTCGTACCCCACTCCTCTGCCGGATTCTCTCCCTGCCTCAGTCTCCCTGCCTCGACCACACCTTTATCCATCTTTAAATCCTACCTACCTGAAATCCTACTTCTTCGACCGCACCTCTGGTCACCTCCCCCCTCTCCCTCTCTCGGTGTCCAACTGTGCTGCACTCCGAGACGTAAATTTCACTCCATCATTTCACAATGAACAGGAGGTTACAGTTCCATTGAACAGAGACATCACCCTCTGTACTCTAGTACACTGCACAGTAACACCATAAACACTTACATTGGCTGAAATTATACTGTATTTCCACATGACCTGTCCTGATGGGAGGTTGCTCATAACTGGACAAAAGAGCAATGAATCTGTTTTGATTTATTTCATTGACAAAACTTTTATTACTAGACAGAAATGCGATGCTGTGATGGGAGGACAGTAGGGTGAGATTTCTGTAAGGATAATATTAATAATAATTAATGATACAGCACCTTTCATGTCGGGAGTACGTCCCAAGGCGCTGAAAGTGTAATGACTGTGTGTTTAGTGGGCAGATGCATTTAGTAAACGAGTAAGAAGTTCTATCGAAACGAACAAAAAAAATCATTGTATTGGTTGTGCATGATCATAATAAATAATTTTAATAAACTTTTTTAAGAATAATTTTTTTTTAATGATGCTTTATAACTCTAAGTCACTTCCCTCCATGAACTGAACCAAAAAAAAACACAGTAAGGCAGCAGGAATGCAGAAGAGAACACAACTGAGTAGAAAAACAGAAAACCTGGATATTGTTATCTTAACTGTGCGTTATTTAATGGAATGTGCTTTGCAGATAGTTCCTTGTTCAGCTCAAGAAAAAAAAACAGCAAAAGCATAAAAATAATTGAAAAATGGAAAGAAGAGTTCTCAAGCAATCATTTCTCACTATTGCGGCTAAGAGAATTCTTTTCAAAGTTAATGTTCTAGAAATTAAACAGGTGCATTTGTGTAGAAGTAAGTACTTAACCTTGGATCTGATCGGTAGGATAGATCTTAAGGCCGGAAGTTCTATTTTATAGCTGTATCTATTTGAAGGATTCCTGCTACAGAATGATAAGACTCTGGGGGCTGGGAGTGAGAAATTGAGAATTAATCTGAGAGGAACTGCATTAACAAGGGCTTGTCGATTACAGAACAGCTATTCCAAACCAACTTGGGAAATCGTAAAGTATAGTACAGCATATCCACTGCAGGCGAATTGCCGGCATTATATCAAATGCTGTATGAATCACAGCTCTCATGTGTTAGTTACCCTTTTCCATTTCAAAATAGGATGTCAATACCTTGCTCTCCACACGCCTCTTCACATGTATCGCAATTCTTACATTAGGTACAGGATCTTTCATGCCGAGAGGACGTCTCAAAGAGTTTCTACTGTAATACAATTGAATAGTTCCTTTCATGTCGGGAGGATGTTCCAAGGTGCTGTAACAGCCATGATGTGAATGATCGATTTTATCTGCGGGATTATTGGCAAGACCACTGGGAGAGAAACTCACATTTTTTTTGAATATTGCCATGGGATCTTTAACGTCCACCTGAACAGGCAGACAGGACCTAGGTTGAATGTCTCATCTGTAGAACGACACCTAGGGTACCGGCCTAGGTTATATGTTCCAAGGTCCAATGTAAGGTCTTGATCCCACAACCATCTGACCTAGAGCCGAGGGTACTACCAACTGAGCCAGGCAAGACAATGCTGTCCGCGAGTCATACCTGGTGCAGACTGGTTGCTGTATTTGCCCACCTGACAACACTTCATTTCTAATTATATTCTCAATGGGGTATCTTACATATGTGGAAACCCAGCGCCATTCTGAAGAGTATCAAAACCAAATCAAAGTACCCAGATATGGATGGAAAACCTTTACCTGTCTGGCATGGAGACACACCCTGTTCACCTAAGGTCAGAAAGAATCAGGGTCAAGTTGGCAAGACTCAAGGCTTGAGTAGTCCAACACATGCTTTGAGGCTTTGCTGGAGTTTAACCCAGGTTGGCATCGCAGTAAGCATCGTCTACCCAGCTTCCCGCTGTTTGTCCATTCGGGTTTTGGCCTTCAGGAACAGGAGTAGGACTTTCAGCTCCTCGAGCCTGTTCCGCCATTCTATTAGATCATGGCAGATCTGTACCTCGACTCCAATTACCTGCCTTTGCTTCATATTCCTTGATATCCTTACCTAACAAAAATCTATCCATCTCGGTCTCGAAAATGTGAATGGATCCAGCATCCACTGCCCTTTGGGGGAGAGAGTTCCAGATTTTCACTGCCCTATGTGTGAAAAAGGTTCTACCTGATTTCACTCCTAAATGGCTAGCTCTAATTTCAAGATTATGTCCCTTTGTTCTGGATTCCCCCACTAGGGTTAACAGGTTTCATCTACATATGTTCAGCTAAAATATTTTGAACACAAATGGGAAGGGAAGAAGTCACTTAGGCATAACCCGTCTAAGAACAACAACAACAATTTGCACTTATATACCGCCCTTCACACAGGATTACGTCTGGGGGCGCTGAAAACTAACAATCTTCTAATACACGTAGAAATAAGTTCATCTCTTAAAAGATAACAACTTGCATTTATATAGCGCCCTTCATACCGGATGGCATCTCGGAGCGCCTAAAAGATAGACTTTCTACAAGTGTAGTGCATGTGTGCAGCACTGAAAACAGAGAGGCCCTTAGTTACCATGGCCAGAAAGCATGGATTTTTTTGTGTGTGTGCAGTCATATTTTCCTGACTAACAGTGACATTTGGAAGCTCCTCAAATAAAAACTCCAAATAGACTACAAGTGGCATGTGGCTGAGTTCAGAACAATGGGGCGTGACCTCGACAACTGGATTACCAAGATGTCTTATCCAACGCAATCAGATGCTGTGTCCACGGACAGGCCGGGTACACTGACTTTCTGAGGATTAATAAGTAAATGGAAAGAGATTTGACTGTATATTGTATGGGCGAAACACGCCAGTTGTGCCCAACAGTGCCGCCCAAAAAGTCGTGGATCGATAACCAAATTATTATTTTTTTTCAAAGGGATTATTACCCCCAGAAAAGCGATCCGCCAATTGACCAACAACCGGGTTCCTACTTCCTGCTAGATTAACAGAAGTGTGTGGAGTAAGGAAACTTGCCTAAAGTTTCACCCTGCCTGGGAATCAAACCCAGGTACTCTCGCTTGCGAGGCGAGTGCTCTAATCAATACGCTACAGGACTCCACTTAAGGAACTTAATGACGTTCCTTCCAACAGCCCGCCCGTCCCTATTGATCTCTCATGTTTATCCAACTCATTTTCTGCACAGCTGACTGTATGTTGCTGGACTATGGGTGGGATGAGTTGAAGAGTAAAGAGCTTAAAAGAAAACTCAGACATTGGTATAACACTTTGTTACAACCCCAACCCTAAAAAAGATGGTGATATCTGTGCCACTTTAGCCCTCAAAAGGATATACGCTTCCACCTAATTTATAGCAGATCAGTTTCCTTAATAGAAATAACACTGTCTCTTGACCTCTTACAAGGCGGCTCTCTGCTTTCAGTGCTTCTTGCTAGTCATACAGATGAGAGAAGTTCATTCGTGGAATCTTTCTCCTTCTTCTCCTCGCTTTGATCGATGTCGATAACCTGGGAGGTCACGGGTTTGACACCCGGGTCCTCGGACTCGATGAACTGAGTCCTGTTGTTCTCCTCTACTTCCACGTATTTGCCTCCAGGAGGTTGGGTGGATTTGAAAACATCTTTAAAGGGATCCTTCAGCGCCTTGTCTGGGCAGAATAGGTAATCATAGAGGGCAGCTGCCACTATTCCACCTATCAAGGGCCCCACCCAGTAAATCTGCAGGGAAACAGGAAACGAAAAAGACACCATGAAAAGACGAATGCTCCTCACCCTCCCCCAAACTCACTGAGCCAGTGTGCAACCTTGGCGCCCGGTATGATAATAATAATCCTTGCATCTGATAAAGTACATTGTCACGTCATTGAGATGCCTCAAAGAGCTTCACAGAATACACTGGATAGGGAAGTGACCGCGTACATTGTGGGCAAAACAATCCCTGGCTCACAGGCTGATGCTGCCCGCTGATCACTCGCTCTCGGTCTCCGCCTGCGCGCTTTGGCTGCCACTCTGACCCAAACTGCTCCCTCTGAAAATGTTCCTGATCCTAACACCTCCCCACTCCCCCACACTCTGCTACTCCCACTCTGTCCTGGCGCTCCGAGACATTAAAGGAGTGTCTTGTGGAGGACTTGTGGAAGACTTGTGGAGTCCTGTAGCTCAGTGGTTAGAGCACTCGCTTTGCAAGCGAGAGACTGGAGTTCAATTCCAGGCAGAGGGCGAAATCTTGGGCAAGTTTCCTTACTCCACACAGAGCCTAATAATAATCCCTCCAAAACCAAAAACAATAATAAATTGGTCATTTTCAATCTACGACTGTTTGTGGGACAATGCTGTGCGCAATTGGCTGCCGCGTTCGCCCACAAATATACAGTCAATTCAATTTACAGTGTGTTCTGTGAAGCGCTTTGGGACATCCTCCCGACGTGAAAAGCGCTATATCAAATGCAAGGATTATTATTATTATTAACCTATATAAGTGAAGGGCGCTATATAAAAGCAAGTTGTTGTGTAAAGTGTAGTGACTGTGTATTTACTTGCATCCTTTCTGTTCAGTTATACGACTCCTCGCAATGTTGATTCTTTATTGCTGCGCCTTATTTCGGTGCCTTGGGATGTACCCCTGACGTGAAAGGTGCTATACAAATATAACTTGTTGATGTTGCCTCCACAAGCTGCAGGTCATTTAGAACTCTGCAGCTCGTGTACTGTCCCGCACCAGGCTTCGGGACCACATCACTCCCACCCTCGCTCGCCTCCACTGGCTCCCCATCCCCTAGAGGATTGATTTCAAGATCCTCATCCTCACCTACAAGGCCATTCACGGCCTTGCTCCCTCCTACCTCTCCGACCGACTATCCCCCTACTTACCTGCCCGTACCCTCCGTTCCTCTGGCTCCGGTCTGCTCCACATCCCCCGCCCCAACCGCCCTACCATCGGTCGCCGGGCCTTCAGCCTCTCAGCCCCGAGGCTCTGGAACTCCATCCCCCAGTGCCTTCACCGCTTCCTCCCTTTCCTCCTTCAAGGCCGGTCTCAAGACCTTTCTCTTTGACCGTGCCTTCAGCTCCCCTCTCGACTCTCTACCCCCTCCTCGCTCCCTTCCCTCCCCTCACCTCACCCTGACCATTTCCCCCCTGCTCGGGTCCTGACCCAACTGTACAGCGCCTTGGGACGTCCTCCCGACGTGAAAGGCGCCCTATAAGTGAAATCTTGTTGTTGTTGTTGTTGATGTTGCTGGAGTAACAAGGTATTTTTAGAAATAGTTTAAGTAAGACTTTACAAGAACCGAGAAGTGAGTTTTGGTGTGTTTGTTGATGCCCCAGTTAGGCCTGGTTGGCCTGGCTAAGTTCAACAAGACTCCACTTTGAATAGAAGGACTGTAGGGAGGGAGTATACAGTAATTACATTAGTTTCACACCTTTCACGTCAGGAGGACGTCCCAAGGCGCTGGACAGAGTTTTGGACCCGAGCTGGGGGTCGGGGTCGGGGAGGGTGTCCTAAACCCCGGGTTTCCGGAATTTGCACCAAGGTGGACAGGGCGCGAAATGGAGAGATTAAAAATTCTGCAGGCCCACGTGCATGTAGATTCCCTCCAGCCCACCTCTTCTATTACCCGCCCCCACCTGACTGTCCTTGCCAGCATTCAGTGGCCAGGAATATCGTCTTTGACTCACTATGCTCAAATTGGCTGTCGTATCCAACCACAAAATACACAGTCACTACAGTGCATCCCTTGAAGTGTTTTGTGTACATCTCGACGACGTGATGAGGCACTATTCCAAATGCATTGCTATATACTATGTTATAATATATAAGCTAAGGTGTCTCATGGTGTAGTGGAGTAAAACACTCGTCTCGCAAGTGAAAGGACCTGGGTTCGATTCCCGGGCGGGTCAAAACCTTAGGCAAGTTTCCTTACTCCACACGTCTCTGTTCACCTGGCAGTAAGTAGCAACCGGTTGTTAGTCAATTGACGGATCGCCAAACAAATGGTCACTCAATCCTTTACTGTTTGTGCGCAATTGGCTCCCGTGTTTCGCCTAATCAATTCACTTTGCAATATATTCTTTGAAGCGCTTTGAAATGACTGAACAACGTGATAAAGTGCTATATCAAATGCAAGGATTATTATTATTATTATTATTATTAGAACAAATTACCCAATGGTTTTCCCATTTTCCCATAATGACTGCTGGTCCAAAGGATCGGGCTGGGTTCATGCTGGAACTAGTGTAGTCAATCTATGAAAGGAAAAGAAAAGTTTAGGTTAGGATGTCCTAAATAAAAATTCCTGAAAAACAATACGAAGAAGATCATAAGCTACCAATGTCATGGTGGATTCATGTGAGATACAAGACTTACGGCGAACATGTGCCCAATAGCCACAGAGAAACCGATCGCCAAAGCAGATGAACCTTTGAGGTCTTCACGTTTGGGATCGCAAGTGGCAAAGATGGTAAGCACCAGCTGAAAGGTTATGAAAATCTCCACCAGCAAACCATGGCCGGCTGACAGCTGCTTATTTACCTGAAATATAAAACAAAAGGTAAGTCATATCACACGGAAACAAAACGCATAGCACCTAAGTGTGTTATTTATAGTCTTTATAGTCTTACTCAACTACAACAGAACAACAGCAACAACAAGATTCCATTTATAGAGCAACGTATAGGACCTGTTTGACGCAGAATTGCTTTGCAGAGTGGCAGTCGTGGGCCCCAAGCAAGAGAGAAAGGGAGGGGGAGGTGACTGTAGGCCCAGTTGAAGAGGTAAGTCTTAAGGCAGGATTTAAAGATAGATGAAGGGGCGAAGGGATTGAGACTTCTCTTTTTGTCGTACGATCTTTAACGTTCACAAAATAAGGCAGGAGAGACCTTGGTTTTGTGTCTATCCGAAGGACAGCGCCTGTGATAAAGCAGTGCCCCCCAGCACTGCACTGGAGCATCAGTCTAGACTAAATGAGTTCAAAGTCCTGCCGTGGGCCTTGAACCTACAACCGTCTGACCCAAGAGGCGAGCGAGTGCTACCAATTGAGCCAGGCTGACACCTGCGTTTGATCCACAGCAACTATTTCTTCCCCTTTAGTACTTGTAGCATAACATAGATTTGGTCCTTAAATGCACGACTGTTTGTGGGACACTGCTGTGCGCAATTGGCTGTCGTGTTTCGCCCACAAAATATACGGTCAATTCACTTTACAACATATTCCGTGAAGCGCCTTGAGAGGTCTCGACGAGGTGATAAGGCGCTGTATCAAATGCAAGGATTATCATTATTATTATTATTGCCTGGAGTTCGTTACCTTGGTAACTCCCAGTCCACCTGCGACGCTAGAAGGCGTGATGAGGTAGAGGATTCCTGCTCCAGTAATGGCGCCGAGACACTGGGCAACAACGTAGAACAATCCCTTGGCAAGGCTGAGCTTCCGGGTGCAGACCATGGCTGCTGTGACAGCAGGGTTAACGTGACCCCCACTAATGTGTCCAAAGCACTGCACCATGGTAGCGATGCTGAGTCCGAAACACAGCGATACGAGCACCAGGTCCATGGGCTGGTCCTTCCCATTCCACCTGATGGTGGAGCCCAGGCTGAGCAGCACGAAAATAAGCATCGCCAGGAACTCTGCAGAGACTGCTTTCCAGAACGGTTGTGTCCAGATCCCTTTAAACGCTGTCATGATCGTCTCACAGTTGCACAGCTGTGAGCACTTCCTGCGGTAAAGGAAAAAAACACAAACAGACAATCTAAGTCTTAGGAAGTGAATGTCTTTAATGTTAATAATCCTTGCGTTTGATATAGCTCCTTATCGTGTCTTCGAGACGTCTCAAAGCGCTTCACAGAATATTCACTGTAAAGTGAATTGACTGTATATTTGTGGGCAAAATGCAGCAGCCAATTGCGCACAGCAGTGTCCCACAAACAGTCGTGGATTCAGTGGCCAAATTTTTTTAAGGGATCAGAGGTACACTGAAGTAGCAAATCTCAGCTTTTTGTGATTTGACTTAGAATAATTGTCATGGATTTGATCTAGCATCAATGATATAGCATCTATAGCAACATTTGTTATGTTACGATCACACTGGATTTACAGTACTTACAAGGAGTTGCAGAGTCGTGACTGTGTATTTGTTGGCAGCCAACACCACCACCACAACAAGAAGCATTGAAAACTTTCATGCAGGTTATAGTCTCAGAGCACAGTGTGCATACAACAATATCCCACAAACAGCCAAGGCGGGAGGCTGTGTGCAGGGGGTGGGATTGATCAATTTTATTCAGGGGATTATTACCAAGGCCACTGGGAGAGAAACTCCCTTCTCTCTGTAACATCCACCTGAACAAGCAGAAGGTACCTTGTTTTAAAGTCTCATCTAAAGGGTGGCATCTCCGACCCTCCCCCCTCACCCCCACCCACCACCCACCACCCAGCATTGGAGTGTCAATCTAGACTACTTGAGTTCCAAGTCCCGATGTGGAGTGCATTGTAAGCAGGATTTTCACCACAGTGCTTGGTAACCATCCCCCGAATCTCTTGTGTTCATATGTTCCAGTGGAATTTAATTTGTGCTTTGCCAATTTACTGCACAAAATGTTCAAACAAAATGCTTGCAGTTCTTTGGTGAGATGTTTAAAGTTATCTTAAGGATCTGTGTTTCATACTGACACACAATACTTCTGACCTGCCATCTGTGCATCACCCACAAAACAACGTTTGCACAGTAACTGGGCTTAAAATTCCTTCGCAGGGGGAATCAGACATTCTCCATACCAACTGTCATTCAATGGATTGCTAATAACATTCTGAAAGGCTTATTGATAGGAATAAAGTGAGATTTGGAGAGAGAGAGCTGCTGCTTAAGTTACTTCATTATTAAATATTTATATATATTTTAAAACTCAGAAGAATGTTGCCCTCTGGAATTCCATCCCGGAATCCCTCCAACTCCTTCGCCCAAGAAACGTCTCATGATGCATCTCTTGGTCTGCACTTTGGGTCACCTTTCTACCACCCTCCATCATCCAACTCCGCTTTGAGACTTTCAATGCGCTGTACGAAAGTAAATTGCATTTTATTGAAAACCTGTTAAAAAAACACAGCAGCAATAAAATCCTATTTTAACTTTCCACATGAAAGAATAGGGCTACACTTCACTGGGTTTTGATTGCCCTTATTTACGCAGCGAGGTCAAGAATTCAGCAAAAATTTACTGCAGAGCAATGTTAGTTACTCATTACATGGGATATGAGTTGTGATAGAAGTCAATTACACCGAGCCGTCAATTGGTGCCTTGCACCGCTCTCTGCACAGCTAGTAATAGACCCAAATGGAGTTCTGACCTGAGATTGAACTTCAGGTAAAGTACAGGAGATGAAAGGTTTGAGAGTCTGTGAATCAAAGCGGAAAATATTTTATGGGATCCATATACATCCTCAGATGTCTCAGTCAGGCTGTAGACCACACCTAAAACGCTGTGCTCAGTTCTGGTCACTGCCACATATGGGTTCTGCCCAACCCCTAGAGGCAGTGCAGAGGAGAGCGATGAGGATGATCCCCAGTGTTAGGGATAATGAGCAACAATTGAGCCAATTTGAGCAACAACAACAACAACAAATTATATTGGTACAGTGCCTTTCATGTCAGGAGCTGGACAGTAAGGGGGGGCTAGGATCAGGAGAGGTGGAGGGCAGGGAGGGTGGGGTTAGGAGGGTGACCACAATTATGGTCGAAGAGGAGGGTCTTGAGAAGTGCGATGAAGGAGGCAAAGGAGGAGCCAGGTGAAGGGCCTGTATAACTTTGAATAGCACCACAGGATCTTTAACATCCACCTGGAGAGGCAGATGGGACCTCAATTTAACGTCTCAGCTGTTAGGAATTTTGTTACCGGTCACCACTCAATGTGTACCTCTCAGCAAGGCTAGATTCCCCCACCACCTGAGCAAAAGGAGATGGTCCTAATTGTTTTCCACCACACGTCACCTCCTCTGTGCTCTTCCTTAAAGCATCCTCTATCCTTATCTCAGCTGCTAAATGTGAAGAGGTCCTGGACTTCTTCATATCGAAAATAGACAACATCCACTTGGCTGTTTTCTCTTCCTTCACCGACCCCCCACTCCCTGCTCACCCTCTCAACCTCTCCCTTGTCTTCCAGAATTCCTATTTCCTCCTCTACTGTTGCAACCACTGTTACCCGCATTTTTACCTCATCCCTCGAAACCGTCATCAATCAGATAAAACTTACGATGACACGCAAATTTATTTTTCTTCCTCCAGTCACAACCCCAGTCCTACCAACCTTCTGACTGTCTGACATCAAGGCCTGAAGGAGTGCTAACTTTCTGCAGCTGAATATGGACAAGATGGAAGCCATTCCCCTTGGCTCCCATTAATGTCTTCTCACCTGTGGTTCTGAAATCCTTAACCTTCCCTGCCTATTCCTTGGACTCACCAAACCTGTGTGTAACTTTGATGTTAGGTTCCATCCCCAGTTATCCCTCCTACCCTGCATCCAGTGCCTGACCAGGAAGATTTTCCTCCACGTGCGTTACATTGCCCGTCTTTGCTCCTATTTTCCTTCAAATGCTGCTGAAACCCTCAATCAGGCTTTTGCCACCTCCAAAGTCGATGCTTCCAATGGACTCCTCTCCGGTCTCTCCAGCTCCACTATAAACAAGTTTCAAATGGTTCAAAACTCTGCCTCTCATGTCCTCACCCATACCAGGCTCTGCACCCCCATCATCCCAGTCCTTGCCAGGCTCCACTGGCTCCCTGTTGCAGAACAGATCGATTTCAAGATGCTCACTCTCACTTTCAAATCTCCTCACTCCCTGGCACCTCCTTACCTGTGTGAGCTGCTCACACCTGGCTCTACCTTTTCCCTTTGCTCAGCTGGCCAGGTCTGCTGCACGTCCCTCGTCCACTCCGCTCCACCATTGGTGGCTGTGCTGCTAGCCACTACGCCCGAACCTCTGGAACTCCTTGCCTCAATCTCTCAGTCTTGCCCCCTCTCTGCCTGTCTTCGAATCACACCTGAAGACTTTCCTCTTCCATCACGTCTTTGGTCACCTCCCCACCCCCACCCCTGGGCTCGCAACAAGCCACAACTCCATTTATGGGGGGATGGGGGAGAGGAGGGAGAGTTGGCTTTAAAAATAACAACAAAGCAATCTGCATTTATAGCACCCTTCGTGCCAGGCAGAGAGTCGGAGTGCTCAACAATGGCGTGGTTTGATGCGGTGGAGAAAGGGGAGGTACGATCTGAAGATTGGCACAGAGGGCACGAGGTGGAGGGAATGTCTTGAACATCAATCGACTAGAATATGTGATGCCCTCTCACAGTTTTTTTTAAACAGAAGTTACGCTACAATTACACTGGACTTGTTGTGGCATTGAAACAACAACAGATTATATTTGTATAGTGCCTTATGCATCGTGAGGATGTCCCGAGATGCTGATAACTTATAACAACTTATACTGATATATTGGGAGCTTTGTCCACACAGAATAATGTCTCGAAAAGTATAGGAGTCAAAGAGCAATCTTAAAACATCAAAGTACTCAAATTGAAACAGTCTCTTCTCCTAAACAACCCCCCACACTGCCACCTACCCACACACACGTGTGCAGAGACCTTAGGCAATAAAAGGGGGAGGGGAGGAATTAATAATAATCCTTGCATTTGATATCGCGCTTTATCACCTCTTCGAGACGTCTCAAAGTGCTTCACAGAATAGACTGTGAAGTGTAGTGACTGTGTATTTTATGGGCGAGACGCGGAAGCCAGTTGCCCGCAGCGGCGTCCCACAAACAGTCGTGGATTCAGAGACTGAATTACGATTATTTTGAAAGCTTGTCAATTTCACGATTTCAGAAATTTAAAAAAAAACAATTTGCCAACACCAAGAACTGCATTCACATAGACCTTTCACGTCGGAAAGACATCCCTGGTCTCAGTAAACAGCAGAAGATCTATCCACAGAAGATCTATCCACAGTCCCACTCTGTCAACCGGTCTCTTTAGACCTCAAGCACTCACTCACTTCAACCCGACGCTACTTTTACGACGAGTTTTTTAAAAAAAAGTTTCACAACTCCTGGCCAACGCGCAAAGCGAACTTTTAGGTCAGATGTCACTTAGTGTGAGCGATCTTCTCTGTTCTTATCAACGTGAAAACCAGTCACAAAAGCTGGCCCGCATTCAACAAAGTACTTGGCATTAAATGTGTAAAACAACAGCAACAACTCAAATTTATATTGCTCCCCTCATGTAGGTGAGCGTCCTAGAGCGCTTGACAGTGGCGGAGAACGACACGGAGGCAACAATCTCATTAAATTCATCACCAACTGCGAACCATCCACAGATACTGCCCTTCTCCCACCCCTCCCCCCACTCCACCCCCCCCACCCTCCCCCACCCAAAACAGGGCTGAAAATTAAGCTATAACCTCTGAACATCAAAAAAATATGCAAAAAGCCAATGTATATATATATATAAAAAACAGGGCTGTAACCCTCCATATCAGTCGCATTCATCAATGTTCAGCGATTGGAAACCCCACAAGAAATTATTTCAAAAGCTTTTTTTTGTGTGTGGCAGGATTGTGTTAATAATAAATAATAATAAATAATAATAATACCTGTGTGAGGAGGGCACTGCGGGGCTGTGGCTTGTGTGCACAGAGGAGATGAGTGGCTGTGGCTCTGGATCAGGCTCAGAGTCAGGCTCTCCTCCCAGGCGTGAAGGGAACATTGTAAACGCAGAGACCCAGGCGATCCGCTTTTAATATGCTGCCAGGCTGAGCACGTCACCCCCCCCCGCCCCCCTCCCTCTCCCAACCACCCCACACACCACTACCCTCCCCCAGCTCAGGGCAACACCTGAATAGCCGGGACGGGCGCCCGGAGCAACACAAACGACTCACTGAGACCAGAGAGCAGTGACTAGTGTCTGAGCCCAGCTCAGCTCAGCCTGGTGTCACTCACTGTCTCTGACCCCCACCCCACCACAGTGACTGAGCCCAGCCCAACCTCCTGCGTTCACTGAGACCTAAGACCCATTACCACCCTGTTGTAAGAATGATGATAATAATCCTTGCACTTGACGTAGCCCCTGTTCGCGCCTTCGAGACGTCTCAAAGCGCTTCACAGGATATACTGTAAAGTGTAGTGACTGTGTGTTTTGCGGGCGAAACGCAGCAGCCAGTTGCGCACGGCAGCGTCCCACAAACAGTTGTGGATTGAAGTGACCAAATTATTATTATTGTTATTATTTTGGATGGATGATTACCCCTGGAAAGCTATCCGCCAATCGACTAACAAGCGGGTTCCTACTTGCTGCCCGGTAAACAGAAGCGTGTGTGTGGAGTAAGTTTATGTGCTGCAATGCACATTATATACTTCACATTATATACTGTAATGTATTTGCTGTAAAGTGTAGTGACTGCGTATTTGTAGGTGCGCAAAAATGGCACACAATTTACATGTAGCAGTGTCGCATAAATGGCCATGAAGTGAGTGACCAATTTTATTTGGGTGATTGTTGGGAGAAACTCCCTTATAATAATAATAATCCTTGCATTTGATATAGCGCTTTTCACGTCTTCTAGACATCCCAAAGTGCTTCACAGAATAATAATAATAATAATAATCCTTGCATTTGATATAGCGCTTTTCACGTCGGGAGGACGTCCCAAAGCACTTCACAGAACACACTGTAAAGTGAATTGACTGTATATTTGTGGGCGAACGCGGCAGCCAATTGCGCACAGCAATGTCCCACAAACAGTCGTAGATTGAAAATGACCAATTTATTATTGTTTTTTATTTTGGAAGGATTATTATTAGGTGTGTGGAGTAAGGAAACTTGCCCAAGGTTTCGCCCTCTGCCTGGAATTGAACTCAGGTCTCTCGCTTGCAAAGCGAGTGCTCTAACCACTGAGCTACAGGACTCCTTTTGCGAATAGAGCCATGGAATCTAACGCAACCCTCAATACTGCAACGGGGTACCTTATACCCTAACCCTAATCCTAACCCTATACCTTATACGATACGATTTCCAAGTCCCGATGTGTGATTTGAACACACACTGACTCAGAGATGAGAGATCTACCGACTGAGCCAGGCTGACACATGGAGAAGGGAAAGGGAGAGCTAGTGATTGACAACATCAAACAGCAAATGAACCTTACCCAAAGATTTCAGCTCTTTGTGGTCCGCACATTTCGAGGCGTTGAGTTGACTGGAAGCAGAAGGCTGGTAGGAAGGCAGCAATCTCCAGTCTAAAAAGTGAGGTGGGGACTGAGCGTGAATGGTGGTTGCCAGGATCTTGAGGTGAGCTAGAGGCTAAGAGTTTGACACGTTTGGGATCTCAATGATGTGAACTTGAACCTTTCGCACAGCTAACGTCTTGGAAACGAGCTCCCTATTTAAACCTCAGTTTAATTTAGACACCGCACTGAATTTATTAGTGAAAAGGAACGAACCCAAGTGTCTCAAGGAGCAGTTTCAATGGAAGATTACACCTCGCCCCACCCACACCACAACATGATTTATATTTAACACTGAACTTTCCATGCAGTGAGTACTATATTTCATTATCTCAGCTCATCTCACTCTTTGGTGGCCAGTCTTTTGCACTGCTTATAGGATGCTTCTGAAGAAGCCACAGCTCCTTAACTATAATGACGACAACTTGCATTGATATTGTGCCCTTCAGGTGTAATATTTCCACAATCAGGGCATCAATACATAATAATCCTTGCATTCGATATTGCAACAGTCATGTTGGAAGGATGCCTCATTGCACTGTACAGGATTTACTGTTAAGGTTCTTTTACTATTCTTTTGTAGGTGAACACGACAGCCAATTTGTACACAACAATGTCCCACAAACAGCCATAAAGTTTTTTGGGGGTGGGGTGGGGGAGGGGCAGGGTTTGGTGGAAATGTTGGCCAGGATATTAGAAAAAATTCCTTTCTCATTTTGAATAGTGCCACAGGATCTTTAACATCCATCTGGACATGTCATCTGAAGTATGGCGCCTTCACAATACCGCACACTCCCAGCACTGCACTGGAGAGTCTGCCGGGGCTGTGTGAGCTCACAGCTCCGATGTGGATCTTGAACCCATGACCTTCTGTCTCAGAGTCGGATATACTTCCAACTCAGCTAAGGCTGACAGCATTGTCCGCTTGTCTTGGTTAATACATCACTTGCAGCTTCTACTGCTTTTTTACCCAGTGAAAGGGAGAATTGTAAGTGCGATAGTTCTCAGGATAGCAGGGAAGCTATCACTCATCATCCCAGCTGAGCTTTTACACAGGTTCTGTTTTCTCTTTTGTATCAAATGAAAGGAGATTGGACAAAGACAACAACAACTTGCATTTATATTGCGCCCTTCACGGCAAACAGAGTCTCGGAGCGCTCATGAAGACCAGTTCACGATTAAGGTCACTTTTTGTGGCAAACACTAATTCGGCTCAAATGCGCTCTGAGACGCCATCCTGGATGAAGGGCACTATATAAATGCTTGTCGTTGTTGTTGTCATACATTGGCAAAGGGACTATAAACAGACTCAGCTGGAAGCAACGTGGACATTCAGGGCTAGGATTCCATGGTGCTTGACGCTGCGATGCCATGATATAAATCATGTTGTGGTGTATTTGTGTGTGTGAGAAAGAGAGAGATTGATTTAACAACTGCTATCTGTGTATATCTGAGAGGGGAGGTTAGTATAAAGGTCACTACCAGAACACAAATGTCAGCCAATACAAATTTCTTCCCACTCGGCTCCTGTTAACCCTGCAATCCAAAGCCCTAACGGGTAAGGCGGTCCTAGCTGAACAAGCAGCGGGGAAGCTTGGCAGACAACAACAACAACAACAAAATTACATTTGTATGTCAGGAGAAGGTCCCAAGGCGCTGGAGAGAGAGAGTTTCGGACCCGAGCTGAACCATTTGGAAAAAGCATGTAAATCAGAATAAGGAATGACTGGAATTGTAAGTCTCTAGGACATTGTTTTATTCAAGGATCACAGTGAATTATCAAAAAAAAGTACAATCTTCACAACACAATATACATTTATACAGCACATCGGAACAACGTATTGGGAGTGCTTGACTTGACGCTGCTGGGATGGGTTGGGGGAGAGGGGAGCAGGTGTGCGGGGAGGAGGTGCTTTTATGTTGAGAGGATGTCTCGGGGTGTGGGGGTCAGAGGAGCAAAATCCAAACCAACTTTGAGCTGGCAGAAATACTACCCAATATTCAGGTAAAACAGCATAACACAATATACAGTTAGACAGCTCCTTTCATGTTGGGAGGATGTCCCAAAGCGCTTGACGCTGCTCCAAGCCGGGACCCGAGCTGGGAGTGGGAGCTGAGGGTGTGAGTGGGGAAAGATGATCAAAAAGGTAAGTCTCGAGACTGACCTTGAAAAAGGGGAGAGAGGGAGGGAGCGGATCAGAGGGACTCCATGACAGACATCCAGAGAGTGAGAGCAAAATGGCTGAAAGCCCACCTGGGCAGAGAGAGCGGGAGGACATGAAGCAGGTATCCCTCCACCTCACTCCCTCTCAATCTGCCTTTAAATCCTATGTTAAAACTTACCGTTTTGACCTCTTCTACGGACATCTCCCTCTTCTCCTTTGCTTGGCATCCAATCCCATCACTGTCCAGCGCTCTGAGGCATTGAATGCAAGTTGTATTGTTAATGGGAAGAAGCACGGTAAATTTTATTTAATGCTGCTTTGTTACTGTGAAATCGTCACAGTCCTAGCAACATCACCACCACACACTTACTCCCCTTTACAACCAGGAAGACATTTCAATACAAAACTGTCCTGCCCTATCGGTTATTTTTGAAGTTAACTATGGTTAATAGTTAGGGAAGTCTGTGTTTTATTCAGTGTACAATGCGGGCATATCGTATAACATCGTAAAACAGGAAGCTTCTCGAATGTTAAGGATGTTACACGATTCACAAAGTCTGCATGTGAGAGGAAAGATAAGGAGGATGTAAAGCAAAGTGTTTGGAAAATTTGTATCAAATGTTACAAATTGACAAAATATCTACAGTGATAGTGGTTAATAATAATGCTTAATAATAATCCTTACATTTGATAAAAGCGTCTTGTAATGTCGTCAAGACAATTCAAAAGTGCTTCACAGCATTTTGCTGTGAAGTGGAGTGACTTTTTTTTGTAGGTGCATGTAGCAGTCAATTTGCGCCCAGCAATGTCCCTCAAACAGCCATGAAGGGAATGAGACCAATGGGGGATTGTAAGCCAGGACCGTGGTAGAGAAAGTCCCTTCTCTTTTCAAGTCGTGCCATGGGATCTTTAACGTTCACCTGAACAGGCTCAGATGGGAGCTCACGGTAACACTTCATCTGTAGGTCAGCACCTCTGACAACAATAATAATAAATGCATGCATTCGATGTAGCGCCTTATCACATTTTCAAGACGTCTCAAAGCACTTCACAGAATATACTGTAAAGTGGATTGACTGTATATTTTGTGAGCTCCTCCTAACCTAGCCTTGGAGCATCAACCTGGAGAGTGTGAGATTAACAACAATAACTTTGGAAAGGCTGTGTGTGTCTGAGCTGCAACAGAATTTACAGAATAAAACACTTCTAGATTTGAGTCGGTGTCTTTCACGACCAAAGCAAACTTAAATAGGGATAGTTTAATTATTAATAAGAACAATCGTTATATTTGGCATAGCAACATGTCGGGAGATCGGCTCAAAGATCCTATGGCACTATTCGAAAAGAGATGGGAGTCCTTCCAGGGTCCTGGCCAAACAATCCCACATTAGAATAAAATCGGTCACTCACTTCACGAATGTTTGAGCGACATTGCTGTGCACAATTGGGCTGTTGCGTATGCCTACAAATTTATATATATCTATATAGTTATTTTACAGTGTATCCTGTGAAGTGTTTTGAGACATCCTCCTGAAAGGTGCTGTACCAAATGCAAGAATTATTATTTTTCAAATCAGAATGTTATGAGTGGACAAATCGACTTGGAGAAGGGAGTTTCTCCTAGTGTCCTGACCTACAATACCCAAAGAAAAAACATACCATTAATATACTTCAAAGTATATCCTGTGAAATGCTTCGAGACATCCTCCGGACATGAAAGGTACTGTGCCAAATATAAGGATTATTGTTATATTTTGTATAGTGGAGTCTGTAGCTTAGTGGTTAGAGAACTCGCCTCGTAAGCGAGAGGACCCAGGTTCGATTCCTGGGCAGAATTAAACCTGAGGCAAGTTTCCGTACTTCACATACTTCTGTTTACCTAGCAGTAAGTAGGAACCCAGTTGTTAATCGATTGGTTGATCACTTTCTGTGGGTAATAATCCCTTAAAAAAACCTAATAATTTGGTCACTCAATCCACAACTGTTTGTGGGACACTAGTGTGCGCAATCGGCTGCCCCGTTTCATCCATAAAATCCACAGTCAATCCACTTTACAGTATATCCTGTGAAGCGCTTTGAGACGTCTCGATGACGTGATAAGGCGCTGTATCAAATGCAAGGGTTGTTATAAAAAGGAACATTGCGATCAATAATAATAAAAGTGGAGATTCACCATCATTCAAGTATTTACAACATTTCCATTATCTCGGATTCACTGGTTGTTCCATTTGAAAGCACAATGCAAGGAATTCAGTCACATTCACAAAAAGCATACATAATGCACAAATGGGTCAATGAGACCAACTCTTGACTCACCAACAGTATCAATCAGCACCAACCTAACCATATTCACTGAACTGATCATAATAATTGTAATCCTTGCATTCAGTATAGCTCCTTTCATGTCAGGAGGCCTTCAAAAGTGCATCACAGGATTTACTGTGAAGTGTAGTGACTGTGTGCTTGTAGGCAAATGTGGCAGCCCATTTACTCCGGTTTCCTGGTCAACAATTCCCCTCTCCAAATAAAAATTGGCCATTCACTTCATGGCTATTTGTGGGACATTGCTGTGTGCAAATTGTCTGTCTCGTTCACCTACAAATACACAGTCACTGCACTTCACAGTATATACTGTTAAGTGCATTGAGATGTCCCCCAGACGTGAAAAGCGTTATGCCAAATGTGAATATTATTATTAATAAAAATAATGAGAGGGTGGAATGAAACCTGTAATTGCCCAACGTAACTTCTTTCAAACAGTAAATAGCCTCACTACAGTCACGATAAAAATCCTGCTTCATACGACGCACAAGAAACATTGTCTCACGCGCGTCACAATAAACCGGAAACCCCTACACATCGATCGCAAAATATATTAACATCTGTCAATAAAATAACCTCTTTGATTCGGTACGAATTAAAAACGTGGCATGGAGTAGTTGAACATCAAGTAATCCAGGTAATAAAAGTTATAGGTCTTCTGCCTTTCCACAGAGGAAAGCTGAGCCAAGTATTGTTGGACCACTGTGGGGGTAGTCCTCTCGTCGGTGGAGTGCCTGTCTTTGAAGCTGGGGAAGTGGAGGCCTGGGGGAGCTCCGATTAGCTTCAGGAAGTGGTTGGCGTCCGTCTCCAAGGTCTCGAACTTACCGATAAAGTCATAGTCGATCAGACAAGGCGAGCAGAGCTTGCTGATCTGCTCCCAGTGAATGTCCATCCCCACAGGCCGCTGTGCGTCCAGCAGGTACTGAGCAAACTCTCTGAAGGTCACCCCCGATCCTGTGTCCAGCGCCTCCACACTTGCGTTGACTCGGTATTTCTTCAGGATGGCCTTGCCGAATACCGGGTGGTAATAGTTGTTGGAGTGCTCGAACTTGTCCCTGAATGCCGACACCAATCTCTCCATGGGGTCCCTGACGAACACCACCTTGGTGTAAGTGCTGAAGCGATCGTGGATGTCCTTAATGTTATAGCTGTCCAGCCTCCGTAGGCTTTTGCTGTAGTGCACAGAGTCGTGCGAGATATTGTCTGGGGACGAGGCCAAGCCATTCAGTACCATTAATATGCGTTTCCAGTTTGAGCAACCAGCCTTGGGCACCTCACAGTACAGGAGTTTATACTTGTCCTCCACATAAATCCGGGACACGAGTCGTATCAAGGACGCCCGATGCCGAGTTGAGTGATACTTTTGACAGAACTCGGCCAGCAAAGCTTTGCGTTTCTCTTGGCTTCCGTCCGTCACCTGTTGAGTCCTGTTGGGGGGACGGAAGGCCAACTGATAGCTGATGGGATACAAGTACTTTTTTATCAATAAGTTTCTCATCTTCTTCTGTTCTGCTAGTTTGTGCTTCAACGACTCACCCGCTTCCTCGAACGTCTCATTAGTTTGCGTCGGCCAGAAGCTCTTCCCAATTTGTCCGACCTTCCCATTCGTAAAGGTTGTGGCATTTCTCCCTGCGCTTCTGAACTGTTTATTCCATTCCTGTCGAGAGAACGAGGGAGATATAAGGCAGAGAAGGGAGTTTCTCCCAGTGTCCTGGCCAACAATTCTCCTGGCAGGTCTTCAGGTGGAATTTAAAGACAGATAAAGAGGGGGTGAGGTGGGGGGATTGAGGCATGGAGTTATATCCAGAGGATATACTTTACGGTGAATTCTTGAAGCGCTTTGAGACATGGAAGGCGCTATTATGAAATGTAAGGATAGTTATCAGTGTGAGGATTATTATTACTACAAGGTGAAGAGAGAGTCTGAAGAATATATGGGTAAAAAATAGTATTCTGTCCCTAAGGTCACTGGAAACAGTGAAATCCAATTACAACATGCTGTCAGCGATATTCAGGGTGAAAGAATGTAACTTTTCAGTCGATTTCACTCACTTTTTATTCATACATTCTTTACTTCAAAGTGCACTGCAGACTAAAAGTACTAAAAGAACTGAGGAGACGTAGACAGAATTCTTCCCTCATTCTGAGAATAACTTCCTTGAATGCTCAGATTGGAAATTTACCTTGAGATATGCCAAACTGATTAATAATAATAATAATAATTCTTGCATTTGATATACCATCTTATCACATCATTGAGACGTCTTAAAGCACTTTACTGGATATACTGTAGAATGGATCGACTGTATATATAAATTTTATACTCCCGGAATCAGGTAAGCAGGATGTGTTTAACGGGAAGAGAGTGTGCACCCCAATACATGACAATTTCCACGTGTAGGTGATGATTTGGATACTCTTAAGCAAGGTGATGACGTTTTCGCATATGTCCCACACCTGGTTGAACCCCAAAAAATACATTTCCCAAATATTCCAATTACCTTTTTGTTTGGGTCCTCCTGCATTTTGTATCTCGGCACTAAAAGAGAACAGAGCAAATATGAGGGCTGGTTTACACGGGAGTATTAACAGATATAACAGAGACAGGTAACATACAGGAATTAAATAATGAATGCCATGAACTACTTCAAAGAGGAGAAATTCCAGCTGGTTCTAGATTTACGCCATTTCAGTGTGTAAAGCATTTATCAGACGGGACCTTGCTTTAACATCTCATCCGAAGGACGGCACCTCTGATAACCCACCACCCCTTCTCTCTCTTCCCCCCCAGCCACCCACCCCAACACTGCATTGGAACGTCAGCCTAGACTATGTTAGTACCAAAAAAAAGTGCAAGTTTACCTACAAATTGCACACTGCAAAACACTCAGGTGTTTCTTATAAAGAGAAGCACAAAGCATACATCCTCTTCACAAATTTCTCTTCTCTAACCACAATATTCACTCGCGCAGATAATTCTGTTAATCTGCGTTTGGAGTTGTTACTGGGGATTAAAACCAGTGTGGGTCAGTGCCCTAACTAGGAATCTAACAACAGCTGAAAGACTTGAGCCCTATACAGTGCCTTTCATCCAGAAAAACATTCCATGATGACAACCATTAAAAAGACTGGCCAGTGCAGAAAGGTCAATCTTTTAATCTGTGCAAGACTTAAAAGACATAGCCCTGGGAATAACACAGCACAAGTTATATTTACTCAGCGCCTGTAATGTCAGGAGGACGTCTCAAAGCGCTTCACAATGCTGGCTAGACAGCCGAGTTGGAGATGGGAGATGAGGGGGGGGGGTGGGAGGGAAAAGGCACGGTCAAAGAGATACTTTTTGGGACGTGACTTGTAAGAGGGGAGGGAGCAAATTGGAGGGAATCTGGAATGGAGTTATAATCCTTGCATTTGATATAGAGCCTTAACACATCATTGAGCCGCCTCAACGTGCTTCACACTATATACTGTAAAGTGAATTGAGTGTATATTTTGTGGGCGAAACGCGGCAGCCAACTGAGCAATGTCCCGCAAACAGTCATGGATTGAGTGACCAAATTATTATATTTATTTTTGAAGGGATTAATCCCCCCCAGAAAACGATCCGCCAATCGACTAACAACTGGGTTCCAATTACTGCTAGGTAAACAGAGGCATGTGGAGTAAGGAAACTTGGCTATGGTTTCGGCCTGCCTGAGAATTGAACCTGGGTCCTCTCGCTTGCGAGGCGGGTGCTCTCACCACTACACTACAGGACTCCATAGTTCCAGAGAGTGTGGGGGACAGAATGGTTGAAAGCCTGCAGGCCGATGGTGGGGTGAGGGGCATGAAGCAGACCAAGGGAACATCGAGGAAAGTCACAGATGTAGGTTGGGGGAAGACCACAGAGGGATTTGAAATTTTGATGCGGTGGGAGCTGGGGAGTCAGTGGACCTGTGCGAGGATGGGGGTGATAGGCTCGCGGAGCCTGGTGCGGGAGGGGACACAGGCTGCTAGACTCTGCACAATATGAACACCTGCGAAGGGAAGTGTTGGGAGTCTGAGGTAAAGAGCGTAGAGTCTAGGAATAGTACCAGTAGTAGTTAGGGTCAACTGAGGAGTGAGGCTTCCTTTTTACATGGAAAACCAATTGCAATGTTGTTGCAATGTACGTTATGTACCAGTAGATCCACCCATCAACAGGGTGTCAACGCATCAACTCAGCTTGTTTCTGGGCTCTGACCTGTTCCATGTCCCTCACCCGGCCCACCCCACCATCGGCGGTCGGGCCTTCAGACTCTCTGCCCCTACCCTCTGGAACTCCATCCCACAGTCCCTTGGCCTTGTTCCCTTCCTTGCCTCCTTTCAAGGCACATCTCAAGACCTTCCTCTTTGACTGTGTCTTTAGTCACCCTCCTATGGGGGCGGGGGTTGGTGTACTGTGGGGGAGTGGGGAGGGGAGCAGGCGGGTGGGGGGGGGTCTGGTCAGACTGGCTGCACTGAGTATTTCCCACAGAGTGGGACATGTTCCCCCGAGCGCAGTTCCCAGAAGATATTGCACAATCTGTTCTGTTCTGCAAAGACTTGGCTGGACCAGCGAGTTAATGGGCTTGGAAATCCAGGGCATAAAAGAAGAAGTCTTGAGTTGATGTTGATTGAAGAAAATGAAGTGAAGGGTTGGCAGTGTGGCCGGGCTGTGCCTTTCTCTCCCGCTGCTCATATTTACTAATTATGCTCAATATAAAAACAGAACTCGATTGTCGAGACTGCTCATAAGAATGCAGAGCCACTTCCTGTGGTGGTTCAGCAGTTCCTGGGAAACTTCATTCTTAGTGTTATTAATACACTGCCCTGTCACTTGGTGAAGCTTTGCCCGGCTGGCTCCGAAAATCTGGCAATTAATGAATGCCTTTATAAACTGTGCTTTTTTGTCACCTAATGAGATCCGCTTTGTGCGTGTATATATGTTTTGTTTTGAACTATTTTTGAAAGGAGAAAATAAAGCATCTCTCTCTTCTGCTGCTCCCAAGTTGTTGTCCGAACCATTTCAAGTAAGAAAAAGGATTCGGTCCGTGAGTTAATACAATAGTGTTGGACTTTACTTTTCACTGGGCACTGCTAACATGAGCCTCACTTGTGCAGATGGGTTGTTTGGAAGGTACATAAGGTACAAATGAGATGCCCGGTCACAAGAAACACATACACACACACACACACACACACACAAGTGTTGTGTTCAAAGCCAAGATCCTTGCGCAAGAAATGACATGGGGCAAACACTTGTGAATCTTAATGAGAGCCCACTTCTCCCCCATCCATTGACCCAGGTGGAGACACACGGCAATCCTTTGGAAGCTCTGTGGGTTCAGGCCGCAGAGATGAAGGGCGCTTTATAAATGCAAGTTGTTGTTGTTTTGTTGTTGACTCTGCCCTGGTTTAGACAACCCACAGAGGAGTCCGATATTGAACAATTTCGTTTGGAGCAAATAGTGCTGTTGTTCTAATAGGAGATTAGAGGAGATCAAAACCCTCTTGATAATAATAATAATAATCCTTGCATTTGGCATAGTGCCTGATCGCGTCTTCGAGACGTCTCAAAACGCTTCACAGAATTTACTGTAAAGTGGAGTGACTGTGTATTTTGTGGGCGAAACGCAGCAACCAACTGCGCACAGCAGTACCCCACAACCAGTCAACGTGATAAGGTGCTATATTAAATGCAAGGATTATAAATCCATTTCAGATTCCCTCCGATTTGCTCCCTCCCCTAAATCGCTTTATCAAATGCAAGGATTATTATTATTAGTATTTACATAGAGTGGCAGGAAACAGAAACAGGTCCTACGGCTCAACTAGTGCGTGCTGGTGTTTATACTCCACACAAATTCCCCTTTCCCCCACCCCCCTTCCTCTTCCCCAATAAAATGGAAGAGTACATCAAAATTACATTAAAAACAACCAAAGGGATACATGTTTGCTTTTGAAGGATCATTTTCTTGAACGTAACTGATGTGTGGTGCTTTCTAATCTAAGGAGGCAACTATGGTAAAATATTGAATAGCATGTAATTGAAATCCTGTCAGCATGCAGGTTTTACAAGCAAGTTCTTTTGAATCATTGTACAATTTTCTTCTTTTTAAAACTACTGTGCTTCAAATATTTTGACAAATGGAGGCAATTACAGGCCACAGATAGCCTTGTTAATGCAGTCTACCTTTAACAGGTCTGAACATAACCTGAGGAGGTGTTTTAGAGTATAGGTTCATTGATTTGTTCGTTAAAAAGAAAGGGTTGGTTTGTCTTCGATCCTTTTGAAGGTCCTGTCTGTGTCTGTTCAGTGGACTGTGAAGATTCTGTGGCATGATTTGAAAAGAGAAGGGTGTTTCTCCTGGTGTCCTGGCCAACAATCCTCCAAATAAAATTGATCATTCACTTCATGGCTGATTGTGGAACATTGCTGTGCATAAATGGACATCTGCATTCGCCTACAAAACACACAGTCACTACACTGTACAGTACATCCTCTGAATTGCTTTGATACGTACTCCTGACACAAAAGTTTACGCTGTGCTATGGCTGTTTTGATGCTTTGGGGTTATGAAAGGGGATGGGAAAACTCCAAGTATGACTGATTTCCAAGTGAGTACAAGAGGCCACACCAGGGAGTCAGTGTGGATTTAGAATCAATAAGCCATGCCTCACCAATTCACAGGAATGCTTTGCGGAGGTAGCTGAACTGGTGAACTATTTTCTTGTTGTTTTGCAGGATATTTGTAAAGTTCCAGGTCTGAGACAGTCAGCGATCATCGCTGACATATTAAAAGGAAGGTTCCAAATGGTAAAAGACTTGACAGTATAACAATATTAATAATAATCCTTGCATTTGATATAGTGCCTTATCACATCTTCGCGTCGTCTCAAAGCGCTTCAGAGGATATATTGTAAAGTGAATTGACTGTATATTTTGTGGACGAAACGTGGCAGCCAATTGTGCACAGCAGTAATAATAACAATCCTTACATTTGATACAGCATCTTTCACATCAGGACAACCAATGACTCAAAAGTGCTTCACTGGATTTTACCATAACGTATATATGTAATACAACCCCAGCACTCGTGCGTCACTGTAGACTGTGTGATTCTCGATGTTGGGCTTGAACCCGCAAACTTATGACTGAAAGGCGAGAGTCCCATGGCAGAACTTTGAACTCCAGCCCCTGCTGAGTTTTCCCAGCTCTGTCTGTTTTTGTTTGAACTTTTAATGTCTCGCCTGACACGTGAATACATAGCCAGGGCAGCCCTGCCTTGTTGGAGGTGCCAGCCTTCAGATGAGACGTTAAACTGAGGTTCTGTCTGCCTGTTCAGGTGGATGCTAAAGATCCCGTGGGGCTATTCGAAAAGAGAAGGGAGATTCTCCCAGCGTCCTGGCCAACAATCCCCCAAGTAAAATTGATGATTCACTTCATGGATGTTGATGGGACATTGCTGTGTGCAACTTGGTTGCTGTATTCACCTACAAAATACACAGTCACTACAATTTGCAGTGAACCTGTAAAGC